TGTGGTCTCTGTCAAAAAGACAAACCTTACAATTTCTTTTTATATGCAGAATCTGTTTTGCAGTTCTGAGGTTAAAAGTATTCTGGCAGTTGGGAGCCAAAGAATACCACAAAGTCACACTGCACAACAAACCTCATACAAGTAATTTATTGGGTGTGAAAACCCCAGGAAAGTGGCTGCCTCAGCTTGCGCTGAGAAGCAGCAGAGAGCTGAGCAGAAGGCAGGTCAGTCTTGGAGAGAGCAGAACTTTCTAGGGTGAGGATAGGTGGGATTTCAAGTCCAGAGCTTGGAGCAAACTCAGGGATTGGTGGGATTTCAAGTTCTGAGATTGACCTTTTTACTCTGTAGGGTGAGGCCTGAGTCCAGCCATTAGGGCAGTTAGAGTGTTCTGTAGGTAGAATCTGGCAGTTGGAGGTCCTCAGGGGAGAGGCCTGGCCATGCATGTGCCTCCAGGGGCTTAAAGAATCTGTAAATTTACATACATATTTGTGTGTATGTGTATATGGAGACCAGAGATTGCCGTCGGGTGTCTTCCACAATTGCTCTCTACCATTTTTTGAGACAGGGTCTCTCATTGAACATGGAGCTCTTACAAGGGGGAAAGAAATATAAAAGGGAGAGGAGAAATGAGAGAGGGAATGTAATACATATGACATGAAAACAGAAGAGCAGGATAGTTGGATAGAATGAGAGGGAAGATAGGAGAACAGGGAAAGGGGGACAAATAAGGATAATGAATAATTACATATATGTATAGAATTGCTATAATGAGGAGCTGGGGGCATAGCATGATAGAGTTTGATTCCCCCAGAATCCATGTTGAACAACAACAAAAAGCAGATGTGGTGCACTCATGTAATCCTGGCACTGGAGAGGTGAAGGCAGCCAGTCTAGCCTACTGGTGTGATCCAGAGCAGTGAGAGACCCTGCATCTAAAACAATGTGGATGGCACCTCAGGAACAACACCAAGGTTAACCTCAGACATCCACATGTATGCACACAAATGTGCATGTACACCTATGTACAAATGAATACACACACACACAGAGAGTAAGAAATGCTACAATGAAATCCACCTTATTGCTAATTTTAAAAATTACAGAAAAATAGCAAGGGTAAGATAGGTAGATGGAACTTGAGACCCCTTTTTTTATCTTGATGCTACAAATGTTGAAGCAACATCACCAGTGCTGCCTGTGGAGGTCCCAGGGGACTTTCTACTTTGTGAGGAGTAAGCCCTTTTTCCTGGTCAGTGTGGTAGCTTAGAAAAGCTGGGCAACAATGCAGGTTACCTCATAAATCCATAGTGCTTTATTGGCAAAGGAGACCTGAGAGAATAGACACTGAGACTAGTGAAGTGAAGTAGTTTGATCAAGGTCCAGTGAGTGGTAACATCTGTAATTCAGTCCTGACCTCCTCTCGGGTGGGTCTGTGCCTAGGTTGTCAGTAAAGATGTGAGTCACTTGCCAAATCCAACACTTGGCTCCATTTAGCAGAAAGTAAGGCAAGAGCCTTCCAAGTGCTGAAGCCACAGCTGGCCAGGCAGTGGCCCAGGACAACTGCTACAAGGCACATTCAGTTTGATAGGCGCACAGGAACACACAATAAACAGGGCAACAAAAATGTGACTCTGCGTCCCTTTATTTATAAACAAGTTGGGAATACTGTGATCCATTTGGGCACAGGGGGAAGAGGGCTTAGGAGTTTTGGTGGTGGGGGTGGGGTGATTCCAGTAGTTTGCACTATTCAGCACCAGAGCAAATGCTTGGGCGTAAGGTCATTCTTGAATCCAGATGAGTCATCGTCTTATATATATGTACAGCAGAATTTTAAGTAGGTATGCTGTTCTTATGGCTTTGTCCCCAGACACACTGCAGTGATACAAAAGAAAACTAGAGGAGAAGTAAAACAAATGCCTGATGAGCTCACTCATCACCATTCCTTCCTCCCTTCCTTCCTTCCTCTTTTCCTTCCTCCCTCCCTCCGTCCCTTCATTCTATCCATCTTTATCAGATGGTCAGGACAGGACTGGTGCTAAGCAGATGCCTGAAAAACAAGCTCATCTGCGGGGTAAGACTAGGCATTAAAGTAAGTCCTGAAGATGGAGGCAAAATCAGCTGTGTTCTTCCTATAGCTGCAGCCCACCAGTGTAACTGCAATATCTTGTAGCCTAGGTCAAAGAGTGTCTGAGACTCCTGAACCCACAGCAGGTCAGAAGCCACACTATGTTTGTCACAGGGCTAGTTTACCTTTGCCTCTAGCATACCGTGACAGTGAAGTTTCTTGACAGAAATTGGCCATTCAGTGTGACTATGACATTACAACTCCACCCCTGTTGTTTACATGAAGGGAGCCAGCACTTGGTTTCAGGGGGAGGATGTGGGAATTGCTAATATGCCAAAGAAGCCGGAGAGGCCAGGACCCCTCCTGCTGCATGAGGATCCAATTGCCACAGAAGTATATAATAGGAAGCCTTCTCTTTCACTCGTTAGGGGCCTAGTGATGCTTGGAAGGAAAGTAGAAATACAAATCTTTCTATACTCACCAACGTAGTTTCATTTTTTCCATCGTCCCATTCCCAACCTACCCTGTTTTCTAAGTCTTTTCCTTTTGTGGGGCAAAAAGAACCTTTGTCATTTTTTTCTTTGTCATTTAAGCTTACTTCTCTAAGCTTGTAGCATACTTTATGCTCTCATTACATCCTTGAATGAGAAATGACTGAATGATTCAGTCCCAGCTCCTGCTAGCTGTGGGAGAGGTAAGGTGGGGTAGAGGCTGGGAAAGACTGAGAGGGTCAAGAAGGGCTAATGGTTGGATAGCAGAATCTGCCATTTGTTTGCGGAAGGCTGTGGCTTTAGGAAAGTGAAGAGGTGCTGGTGGAAATGAGAAAGAGTTCTAAACCCACCTCTGAGCTGTTTGGGCCTGTACCTGGGATGAGTCCAATGTTGGTCATTTCCAATCATTCACAGCTACAATGGCACTCTGGTGAGTCATGTGTGTGAGACTTTTCAAGATGCTGTGTAAGGCCTGCAAAATTACAGTCTCCTGATATATCCACCCTAGACTGTCTGAGAAAAACTTAGGTAAAAGTGGTTCTCTCTGCCCTGGGTCATGCAGTCGGGGCTTTTTAAAAAAGGCATTATCAAAGAGAGTTCCCCACATACAACCTGAAGTGCCCTAAGGCAGCAGATTGTATCTTGTCTTTCCTCTCTCTAGGATCCTCTCTTCTCCTCTTCTCTTGTCCTCACTGGCTTCATTTGCTTGATTGATCTCCTTGTCGTTTCACTGCCACAAGTGTCAGTTGGCTGAAATGGAAGGCATACGTGCGTGGTCTGTCCTGGGTGCATGGTGGAAGGCTGAGATCAAATGGACACAATGGAAGAATGGAAGCCCTTGCCTCTGAAGAGTGATGCTCTGAGAGGGTCTTTGCTAGGAAAAGAACTTTTTTTCTCCTGGGCCATGTTCCCATTAAACCCCCCCCCCCTGTCTTTCATGAGCACTTTACAGAGTTCTGGAAGAAGTGCCAGGAACAAGGGGGCTCCAAGCTGGTTGAGTCTCACAGTTTTGTTTTGCAACAATCACCACTGATCTTCAGGTACTTCCACCCCAACGCAAAGGTGATTCCTCCACTGATTGCCACCCTGAAGTCTTGTCTCCAAAGCCTCTGAACAAAAGGATGCTTCCGCCACCGAGGTGATGGCCTTTGCCCACCAGTTGCAGATTACAGCCTTCATTATGTCAAGCCCCAGCATTGTCTGACTTTATCATAAAAGCCAGGAACTTCTGTTTGTACCTAAGAGATTGGCTCTAAACTTTCCCTGAACCTGCTCATTCCCTGCACATGGTTAGGGAACAGTAGCCCCAAACAGTTCTACAGCAATCTGGGAGTCTCCACCCCAGTCCAAGAAGGTGGGGCCAAAAATACCTTCAGCGTCTCTTAGACTATTCAAAGGACTGAGCCTTCAATTCTCTGCAAGACTCTTTGGAGCTTCCCTTTACCCAAAATGGCATAGGCGAAGAACAACAGGAATTTCCTGGGACAAAACATTTCTATAGGAATCTAACATTTGATTGAGCTTTTGACAAAGTGCCCAAGTCATGAGGACAGGTGGTTCTCTAGATAAAGCGCTTCAGCAGGGTATCGGGGAGAGCAGGACAGGAGTATATAGTCCAACACCACCACCATATATATTCATATTGCATATGGTATACACCCTGGGGAGGCATATTTGGAGGATACATAGAACAGATACGTGCAGGTAGCACCCCCTATCGGTATACTAAGTGTTACATCAAACTGTTACTCAAGGACTATGAACTGGGAAGTGGTCAGAAATGGAAAGAGCCATTCCTTTAAGAAGAAGCTCCTGATTGGTTTGCTTATTTCTGTTTAGACAAGACAGGGTTCCTTGTTGTGATTCCCATCAATTCTGGGTAATTTCTGGAAAATGGTGTCATCATGCCGGTGATGAAAAGTACAGCCAGAAACATGTCAGGCCTTAGGTGGAGTTCACCTTGACACAACTGTTCTTTGAATGAGACGTTAAGGTTCACACTTTTCTATCTGGCCAAAGCAAAGCTGGGTCTGAGTCATGGTCCTGGAACAGGAAAGAGTTGACAATTGCATCATCAGGCTTTAGTGGCTGAACTGAAAGGCAGGACTGTCTTTCACTTGCCCATTTCAGAAGTACTTAGCCACCTCAGTTGGAAGGGTATTCATTCTGGGAGAGCGTGGGAGTTAGGAGGCAACGTGCAAGGCTCTTAGAGGGCTGGAGAGAGCAGGGTGAGGCAGCAGCCACTTCTGCAGATGGCTTATTTGATACAGATGGATGTGTGGACCAAAGCAGAAGTCACCCCACTTCATGGAGTGCTCTGCACCTTTCCATAGTAGGCCTAAAGTGGGGTGATTCCATGAGGTTAAGAAGGTTTGTATGGGTTTTCAGGTTGGGAACCTCCATGCTGAGCCCGGCCAGGCTGTCCAGAGAAGGAAGAGGAACTGGCCCCAGTACCTTCTCATGGTAGAACTCCCATCTCCCCACTGAACTGCAGCTCTCAACACCACCCAGGCTTCCCAGGAACCCTTCCCATCCTGTGTGGTGTGGCTCTTGTTGGCCAGGCACCTTTATTTCTCATCCTCATCCCCCTCACTCATGCTGCTGATGGAGGCTGAGGCTGCTTTGGGTGAGGAGGGAGGAGAGGTCTTGTTTGGGAGCCATGAGAAGGTGGGGGATGGGGAGCGGGAAGGGGACCGGCTCCGGGTTGGGCTGCTCACTGGACTCTGTTTCGGAGATAAGGCCTGTAGCATCCGGCTACTCCTCTCCTGGAACATCTGCTTCTAGAGGAAAGATAGAAAAAAGATATCTGTTAACACAACAGTTCTGAGTACAGTTAGAGAGGAAGAGCATGATAGAGGGCCACTTCACCAAAACACCTGCACCTACAGACTTGTATGACATTCCACGTTGTCAATGGCTACAAATAGGGGGAAATGAGTAAAATCTGGGGCCAGTAAGAAGTCGATCCCTAAGGGTACAATCCCTGCTGATGGATGGGACTTTCCTCTTCTTTCATCTGTACAATTTAACTGCCAGGCAAACTAGCAATATCCTAAGTAATGGTAGAGTCTTGTAAATAAAACAAAAGCCTTTGTCATTGTGGATATTAGGAGAAATCACACAATGAGCAAAGTATATGCTATAGCAGATGGAAATGTGATCCATGAAAAAATAAGGCAGAAGATACCAAACCAGGCCTGGTGCTTCAAACTTGCATGCCAGCACTCGGGAGGCTGAGTGAGGCAGGAGGAGTTTGAGACAAGCCTAAGCCTACAAGAGACTATCTCAAAAAGCGAAGTTAATACATAATTGCTAAAGGGTTTTCCATGGAAGGCCTGGCTGAGGGAAGGCCTTCCATGGAAAGGAGATGAGGGAGGACCCACTCCACCAGTGGAAATCAGTGGGAAGCCGGGTCCAGGCAGACAGACCCCCAAAGACAGCAAGCCACAGACTGGAGTGAGGTTTGCTGCCTGGAGAACATAAGGAAGAGTTGGGTGATTGCTGGAGAGGTAGTAGGTGGCTATCATGGAGGCTCTTGGCGGCCATTGTGGGAAGTCTGTATTTCCCTTAGTGGAGAACCACTCAGGCATGTTTAAAGGGACAGGGGAAGGAAAAGGCTGTCCTCAGTAATGGACAGAACTAGTGGGGGAGGGAAGAGTGGGTGGCCTGGGGGAGATAAGGCCAGGAAAATGGTGTAGGGGACTGATTCACACAGGACCTTCTCTGAGGGGAAGAGAAACTTCTGGAGAATTGTAAGCAAAAGAATAGCACAATTTGCCTTTGTCTTTTCCAGTGACCTGTCTAACTACTGTGCTTGGAAGAAACTGCTGGAAAGGGTGTGGGGACAGGGAGATTAATGAGGAAGCAGTTACAGAAAGAGTCTAAGATTATGATGGCACCTGGCTCAGTGTGATGATTGTGAAGGTGAGGAGGAGGAAATGGCCAGCATTTCTCCCCCACATTTAAATTAAGGTCTCATAAACCCTCCTTTGTGTGCGCTTGTACAAGTTTTGACAAGTAGTAATAGTTGTGTGACTACCATTACACTCTAGGCATAGGAGACTTCATCAGCTCCCAAAAACTCACGTGGCCCTTTGTTAACACCTGTTGTCCCAGATTCTCAACACAGACCCTTTTTTCTGTCCTTTAAGTTTTTATATTTACCTTAATGGCATTTAAATGGAATCCTACAGCATGTGGTCTGGCTGTAGAAATAAGAGGACTGGCTCATAGATGGGATGTGGCACATAGGAGGAAAACATCAAGTGACTCTAGTTTCTGGCTGGTGAAACTGGAAAGTGGTGATGCCTTTTGCTGGATGAGGAAGACTGTGTGATAAAATGTGGAGTTGGTGGTAAAAATAGATTTTTTTTCCTGTTTTATGGGGGGAGCTATTTGGACTTGATTTTTGAGGCTGGGTCTCACTAACTGAAGCTGGTCTTGGCCTTTTGAGCTTCCTGCCTGAGCCTCCATGGACTGAAATTACAGGTGTCTGATTTTCCAATCCTTGAGATGTCAGGTGACTGTTGCATGGTGTTTCTTTCTGGAATACCGAGGGAAACCTTGTCTCATAAAAAGAAAAAAAAAGGGAGAGGGAGATAGAGAAGAAGTGGAAAGGTGTTGGAAAGGGTAGGAGAAAAGATTTTCAAAGGGATAGTGTACATATAAAATGAACTAAACATGGCCAACCTCACTGGTAATCAAATGATAAGAATGAGGCCCTGTGTATCACCACCATGATCTAATACCTGAGCTAGGCAGCCAGGGAAGAAACACTTTTTACTGTATCAGATTGCAAATGTTTCCTTAATTTGTGATGATGAATGTGAATGAGGGCATGGGAAGGAACCACACTGCTGTTCCTGCTGGGAAAGACGATAACACACAGCACTTTCCTGAGAGGTAATTTGATAGCAAGAGCAAAAGCTTCTTTTTCCCTGAGGAATTAAAGAAGGAGGTAAATATTTATGAGAATAGATATTGTAGTATCATAACAGATAAAAGGGTGAACTTCTGAAATAAGTTAGAGAACTGTTACTATAACTTCAAGGAAATATATTAAGAGCTGCCCCCCAAAAAAGAGGGGGTTCTTTAAAAAATTAATTTTATTTAATGTGTGTTTCTTGCATGTATGTGTGTATACCACGTGACTACCTGGTGCCCTCAGAGGTCAGAAGAGGGCTTCGGATGCCCTGGAACTGGAGTTACATGCAAACTGCCCTGTGGGTGCTGGGAATAAAACCTGGGTACTCTGTAAAAGCAACAAGTGCTCCTAACTTGAGATATCTTCCTGGTCAAGAAAGTCAGTTTCTTAAAGAATACTGAGTAACATGAAAAATGCCCTTGAAAATTCAAAGAAATTTTAGGATCACATGGTCTTCATGATTTCGGTGTTGATCTGTGCAAGTGAGCTTTTTTGTCTTTTATTCTTTGTGTGAGTGTATGGGGGGGTTTCTGGGACTTAAACCCAGAGCCTAATACATGTGAGGCAAGTGGACTGCCATTAATTTATAGCCCCAGTACTCCCTATGTTTTTAGACAGGTCTTTCTATGTAGCCCTGTCCTGAAACTAGCTCTGTAGACCAGGCTGGCCCCAAACTCACAGAGACCCACCTGTCTCTGCTGCCAAAGTGCTGGGGTTAAAGGAGTGTGCCACCACACCTGGCTTTTTGATTTTACTTTCTGAGACAGTGTTTCTCTGCCTAAGCTGCCCTTGAACTTGTGATCCTCTGCTTTGCTCTCTCACATAGCTGGGATTATAATACTGTGCCTTGAGGCCTGTCTAGTCATTACCTTCTAGAAGTTCTGTAATGAATACACTCAGTCTTTCAGGTGTGATAGTTACACGTCTGTGGCTTCAACTATCTGCAGATCAAACATGGCATTTATAGTGAACGTGGACAGACTTTTTCTAGCAATCGTTCCCTAAACAAAAATAGCATAATGCCTCATATATTTACATCATGTTAGCTATTACAGGTCATCAAGATCCTTTGAAGTATATAGGTGTGTGTGTGTGTGTGTGTGTGTGTGTGTGTGTGTGTGTGTGTGTGTGTGTGTGGTTTTTGTGCCAACAGTATGCCACTTTCTATAAGGGGCTTGATTAGGCACAGATTTTGGTATCTAAAAGAAGCCCTGGACTGATCCCCAACAAATACAAAGCCATAGCTGCTGCCTGATGCTTTTGCCTTCATAAAACATGATGGGAAGAAAGAAACTCAAATAGCCTGGATAGGGAGATCAGGCAGGCACTTCAACAGTGACATAGCTAGAGAAACATTAAGACCTGAAGCACATCATTAACTCCTCCATCACTCATTTCCCTTCCTAAGCCCTAGTCTATCACTTTGTAGAGCCTAAAGTTTCCTCTGGAAACTATAATAGAGAAACCTTGCTGATCACTGAGATTCCTCCCAGATTGAAAATTCCACCTGTCTACAAATACAGCAATTATTTACCTTCCATTAAGAGCACTGATAATTCTGCCAAAAGACAGCCAACCCCCATGAAATCAAACAGAAAAAAAAAATAGTGCTGTACAACAGCATTACCTGAGATTAAGCCCATTTATGAGACAAAATCAAATGCCAAAAGGATTGGGTAGCCTATTATTAACAGTAACATTAAAAAAATCCTTGAACTTCTAGCAGGCACTTTAAAATATGTGTTTTTATTACTATAATCTTTCAGCATATTTTTAGTGGCAGCCATTAGCCCTCCTGCTGTTAATGGATTGTCAGCATTTCCATTAGAAACCCACTTTCTAAGAAATCTACATCTTGTCTACTCTAGTTTGAATCAAGCTCATAACTTGAGAATATTCTGCCTAAAGGGATGAAAGAATTTGAATCTTTAATGATAAACAATGGTGTCACACTTCACAAAATGTGCTACCCATGCAAAAGTAACCAGGCCTGGACTTGCAGTTTGTCCGATCTGTTTCTGCTGGACTGTCCAGGGTTATTCCCCTACGAAGGAACTGAATTGAATCCAATCAGGAGACAATTCATAATGAGCTTCCTGGGAAGAAAAGCACTTTAGAAATATAACAAATAATGAAGACCATGGCATGACATTTTCCAAGAGAAAAGGTATTTAAATTCAATCTTTTATTGTATTAAGAGGTTTCCATTTAGAAAGTTTTCCCAAGAAAATAATCCCGTTTATAGTCCTGTCCATGTGAAAGTAATTTTCTGTTTCCCTCCTACAAAGTTTTCCCTTTTAAGAAGTATTTAACATCCAGTGAGGCTGTGAATATCTTGATGAATACCTTTAAAGGCTTTCGTGTTTCTTATACATCCCTGGCACATGAGTTAAAATGAAGTGAAGAAAAAACAACTAGTATGATCTGGCTTGGACCTCATAAAAAAAAAATGAAACCCAAGAAGACAGAAGAGTCGGTGCTTCTACGCTGTCAAATCGATAAACATCAACAGCAACTAGCCCTTCACTGTGGTTGATGCGGTCTTTGTGCCAGGCTCTGTTATGAGGACATTATTATGAACTGGTTTAATCCTCTGGGCAAACCTAGGAGGCAGAAAGCTTCCTTTTCCCTTACAGGTGATGTGACTGAAGTGTAGAGATGCAGAAGAACTTGCCAAGGTGGGTGGGGCCCAAGACTGGGCCTAGGGCCTGGCTGGATCTGGGGCCAGGTCTGGGCTGGGCTGAGGCTGGGGCTAATGTCAGTCATGGAGCACTGGACTAGCATGTGTAAGGCACTTAATGTACCTTTAGAGAAAGAACTCAAAAAAGGAAACCCCTCTTGAAACAACAGTGACAA